AACAACCTGCAGTACGGAGATGACACAACCTGCTTGCTGAAGGCTAAGAGAATTTGAAGCACTTACGATGAAGGTCAAAGACTACATCTTTCAGCATTGATTATACTTTGACATAAAGCAAACAAAAATCCTGACAACTGGACCAATAAGCAACATCATGATAAATAAATAAAATATCGAACTTATCAAGCATTTCCTTTCACTTGGATCCACAATCAACATCCAAGGAAGCAGCAGTCAAGAAATCAAACAACATACTGTACTGGGCAAATCTGTTGCAAAAGACATGTTTAAATTGTTAAAAAGCAAAGATGTTACTTTGAGGACTAAGGTGCATTTGACTCAAGCCATGGAATTTTCAAACACCTCATATGCCTGAGAAAGCTGGATAGTGAATAAGGAAGACCAAAGAAAAACTGATGCCTTTGAATTGCAGGTTAGAGAAGAATACTGAAAATACCCTAGACTTCCAGAAGAATTAACAAGTCTGTCTTGGAAACATACAGCCAGAATGTTCCTTAGTAGCAAGGATGGAAAGACTTCATCTCATATACTTTGGATGTTATCAGGAGAGACCAGTCCCTGGAGAAGGATGTCATGCTTGGTAAAGTACAGGGTCAGTGAAAAAGAGGACCCTAAATAAGATCGACTATCACAATGGCTGCAACAACGGGCTCAAATATACCAATGATTGTGAGGATGGCTCAGGACTGGGCAGTGTTTTGTCATATTATAGATAGGATTGCTCTGACTCAGAACCAATTCATCAGCACCAAACGACAATAACATGATGAAGGACCTTCTTCTTACCTCTAAGCTTAACGCTTCTCAACTTTGACTGTACGTTAAAAAAAAATTCCAGTGTCCAGTTTATGTCCAAGACCAAATAAAGCAGAATTTCTAGAAGTAGTACCTCAGTAATTTGTTAATCTCCCAAAGTGATTTGGAACTAAGGTGAGTAGCACTGTGCGAGAACTCTCCTTCAGCTGTATGCCATTTTATTGGTTTTCTCACTTACATAGAAATGTTTAGAAATAAAAAGTATAATGTTATCTTCAATGGCTCTAAAATAGTAGAATAATCTTAGAATTTGAGGGGAAAAAAAAAGAAAAGAAAATTCTTCTCTCCCTTCTTTATATTCACTTAGGTAGAAAGCAAAGTTCTCAAATTTATGAAAATTAATAGCTCTTTAAGATGCAAATCAAAACAAAAATGAGATACTATCTTGCCCCAGCACTAGTAGCAAAGTTCAACAAGACAGAAAATAACAAATGCTGGTGAGGTTGTGGACAGATTGGGACTCTCATACACTGCTGGTGGGACTGTAAAATGGTACAACCATTGTGGAAAGCAGTATGGCGATTCCTTCAAAAGTTGGAATTAGAAATAC